CTATCTATCTATCTATCTATCTATCTATCTATCTATCTATCTATCTATCTATCTATCTATCTATCTATCTATCCACCTTATATTCCTCCCCATTTCACTAAAAGCAACACTAAAATGCATTAACGTTCTAAGCTAAAACTTATTTCCTTATGATTTCAATTTAAATATTGAAGCATCATGTCAATCTCTAGCTTTGTTTATGGTGGAGAAAATCAGGGTGGTGTTTTTTTTCCTTTGAAGAATCAGCAGAAATCAGAAGAGTAATCAACTAGCCAGCCACATATTCAGCTCATTACCACGTCTGAGTAGGAGCCTTGAAGCCTTATACAGTTTGACATCACATTCAGAACTGGTGCCAAATCACAATGTTAGCAAATGAGGCAGTCTGATAACCACTGAATTATGTTATTAATCAATGCCTTCTTAGAAGGAATACAACATGAACATTTACAGGGCAGTAGTTATTAAAAAAAAAGGAGTGCGTCGTTAAGGGAGAGAAAAGGGATCCTTAATAAAGGTGCATGTAACATCTTTTGAGGGGTAGCATTTTACACGTGGAGTCAGGGGTTTTATTCTTGTGGCCAGTGAAAAATGTCCTCACCTATTAGTCCAAAATCACCTTTTGCCCTTATTTCCAAGGTGCAGCAAAGCAGAAATGTAGCACGCTATTCCAGTTTAACAGAACAGGGGAACATTTTATATATCAATGATTCCCAGATAGCTAGGAGTTCCATGGCTATACAAATGCTTTAAATAAATAAAAAAAAATAAAACCTGTAGAATGTAACAGCCTGGGACACATCTTTCTGGAAGGAAATCTCGGGATTAGGGGCAGCTCTCAAATCTGAGACCCAGCGGCTTTTCGCGTGGGCGTTCAACGGGCACCGACCTCTCCTTCCACTCCCCCCCCCCACCCCTCGTTCTCATACCAGTCCAAGCTCCTTCTAGGCCTCCGAGGCCAGTTGAGGGGGGGGCTGGGGTGGAGAGGAGGGGGGGGGACACCGACATTCCGTATGGCATGCATGCATGCATGCATGGCAAGCGTGCATCTATGCATGCATATACGAGCGCGCACTCCGAGCGTTTCACCCCCCCCTTCCCTCTTCCGCTGCAGCGATGGTAAAAAGACGGCGGCGGCGACGGCGCCGTACCTGGATGTAGTTGGTCTCGCAGTACTCGGCCACCCGCTCGAGGTTGGTGTAGCTGTCGAAGAGGGCCCGGCGCCCTCCCGGGATCTCCTCCTCCAGCAGCATCTGCAGCTCCGCCATCTTCACANAGGAAATACACCTTCTCAGTAATGGTCCCGCCCTGTGGAATATCCTCCACTTTGAGATCCACCAGGACCCTGTCCTTCCAGAATACTGTATTTTTCGGAGTATAAGATGCACCGGAGTTTAAGACACACTAAGGTTTTGAAGAGGCAAATTTAAAAAAAGGTTTTTGCATTCTGCAGACCTCCCAAAAATGGCCCGTTTTTCACGAAAATGGGCCCATTTTCTTCTTTTTTTTTTAAAGGGCATGAATAGCCTTTAGGAGGCTTGTAGTGTGCTCCAGGAGGGGGGAAAATATGAGCAAAAAAAACAGCCTGTTTTTCGCACATTTCTGCCCTCTCCAGCCCCCAGGAGCACTCCGCAAGGCTCCTAAAGGCTATGCACAGCCATTTTGGTGAAGGGGGCAGGGTTTAAAGAGGCAAAAAAATGCTGTATTCAGTGATTAAGACGCACCCAGATTTTCAGCCTCTTTTTTGAAGGAAAAAGGTGCGTCTTATACTCCGAAAAATGCGGTACCTTAAAAAGCTGTTTCTTCTCGTAAGAATTGTGATGGGGTGAATCTAGGCCCCAATCCAGGAGTGGGTTCCGGCTTCTGCTACTGCCGGTTCACTCAGGGGTGCACTTCAGACGTGCCCAGTAGTAAAAAAAATGCTTCAGTCTCAGTTTCAGTTTCAGTTTTGGTTTATTTGTATAAACCAGGAGGGACTCAGGGCGGCGAACAACTCAAAGGGTCCACAGAAGCAAAAAAACAAGATGGACACCACCTACAGCACCGCCGATAGAATCGGTTTGGGGGCATGGCAGGCCAAATTACTACCTACTCACCCGAACCGGTCCAAACTGTTAGGAGCCCACCTCTGCCCCAATGATTATGGAGTGTTGCTTTAGAATGTGAGATGCTCACATTTTGAGATATTGGATTTTTATTATGTTTTTATTGTTGCTATAAGCTGCCAAGAGTTATGGTATATCAGGAGACCGGCTATGTAAATTTCCCACATAACTGAAACAGCACAACACAAATTGAAGAGGCCTTGTAGAGTCGAGTATTTCTGGTAAGCGGTATCACTGTAAGCTGCTGCATTAATATTGAATTGGGAGATTGCATATCTAGCTACACTTATGAGGGGAGAGTGAGTGTGCTACCTTGAACTCTTACAAAGAAGGTGATTTCCCTAGCAACCATGTTCAGCAGAAGAAAGCATGGTTCCCTAAGAACAAGAGAACAGATTTTCTCATAGCGCCAAATGCTTTCTTCACAAGCAAAACTTCCTTGGGCCCTTGTTATAAAAAAATAATAATGAAACAGCATGGACCTAAACATAATTAACTGTTTGGAGTGTGTATGCATCTACTTTACATGATCAAACTGAGAGAGAAACAGCCAATTGGCTGTACAAATATACATTGGGGCATCCCTTGGAACCTGTGGTTTAGTATTACTGAAATACTTGCATCATATTTGTTAGTTTTATTGTATAGGTTCATTTTACTATCTCAGATGGCAATTTTGTGGGTTGTTGTTTGTTTGTTTTTTTTGTATTCTCAGCTTCATTATTTATTTATTTTTTATTGAAAATTTTGGAAAAAAAACTTTTACAAATATTTACCTCCCTACCCCTACCCTCCCCACCCAAACCCCAAACCCCCAACCTCCACACACACACCCCCGGCTTCCCAATACAGGGTATAAATCTTTAACAAAGATATTCTAAGATA